CATCTGGTGAAATCCATGTCGCTTTGTGGATATCTTTGTGCCTGAACACACTGCCTCCAATCACCAAATCGTTGAATGCGCAGAATTCTGCAAACAATTCTCCATTCTCATTCATTTCACCTAGTGCCTCTCGACCCATGGTTAGTTCTCTTCCCGTGTTGTCCCCTCCCAGTTTCGCATTCATGTCGCCCATCAGAATTTTGATATCGCCAACTGACGTCTTGTCCAGTGTTGACTGAAGTTGTCTGTAGAATTCCTCCTTTTTCTCTTGCTCTGCATTATTTGTAGGTGCATAACATTGTATGATTGTGACCTTTCTTCCTTTTGAGTTGAATCTTGCTGTCATGATCCTGATGCTGGAGGAGATTGGTTCCCACTGCATGAGAGCCTTCGATGCTCTTGAGGACATCATGATAGCCACTCCCTCAGTGTGCTCGTGGTTGGCGTCTGGGTGACCGGAGTAGATTATTGATTCTCCAGTTGATAGTTTGGAGAGTCCACTCCCATTCCATCTGCTTTCGCAAATCCCAAGCACTTCGATGTTATACCTTCTCATCTCCCTTGCAATCTGGGCTGCCTTACTGGGTTCAAACATCGTGCGGACATTCCATGTCCCCACGTTTACTTTCGCTTTCATCGAGAGAAGACACATCGGCCAATTGGCTTCCCGAAGGCTTTCACCAACTGGCGTCATTTCGCCCCTCCGATTCCAGCGGGGAATAAGTTTGTTTTCATTTTTTATATTTTGTTTGTGCTTTGAAGTTTCTTTAGCGGTTAGATTTGTTTTACGGGGTAGGGTTGCTAGCCCTATGCCCAACCTTCCCTCTTTACCCGGGCTTAGGACCGGCTAGTAACTAGTAAACTAGTTAACCAGGCGAGGTTGGATAACGTATCTGGACACAATTTATTATCCATATTTATATCAGAAGGTAACTCCACAACTTTGAGACAGAGTTTATATAGTCCTAATTTTCTCTCCTTCTTTGTGACAAGAGTGACAGAGTTTTCCATATATCTGGGACAGGTGCAGAATCATTTCTGTTGCATGTATTTAGTGTTGATTTGATAAACAAAGATTCGGTTATCAATCTCTCCCGCACTCCACCCAACTAAGGTAGTTTTTAACGCTATCGCTCTATCCCACCCCATTTTATGTAATTGCATGTAAGGCTATTGTCAAGCTTTTTTCATAATTTCTTATTATCTTATTACGATCTAATAATCATGACTAAGAAAAGTTTTTGTGCTCAGATAGCCTAATCGACCCTGATCGACCACTTTGACCTATTTAGTTGACCTTCCAATCAATGCAAGGGATTTGGTAAACCAGATTATTTTGCTTAATTGCATCGATAGGATCTTCTAACCTACAAAGTTTGTTTCTAAGCGAGTTTGTTGGTTTAAATGCCACTTTAATCCCAGCCAGCCTTATTAAGAGTTCTTCGTAATGCTTCTGAGGTACCTTCCTTGTTTGATAAAACAGCAGAGGCTTTGAATTCTCTCTCAAGTCTGTCATCATCATTACCATTAGTAGTAAAATTATTATCAACAACACCTGTGTTATTACTACTACTAATGTTATTATTTTTCGTAAGATTTCTTATGCATTTGTTTAAAAATGTAGGTTGGTAATTATTGAGACTTAAGGCATTCTTGATGTATCTAATTTCTTGTCGTCGATTTTCTCGCCTACTAGTGAGCTTTTTTGCCTTATAACTTTGGCATTTAACCAAGCCTACTTTGACTAAAATGGGGTGGGATGATTCGAAGTCTAAGTAGCGATTCGAATAGCAAGGTTTCCCATAAACACTAATCTCTAAACTTCCATCTTGTTTTCGTTTAGTCTTACAGTCCAACATTACTGTCTCATCTTCATCCACTACTTAATTTGTATGTGCCAAGAACCTACTGACGTGTTCCGATTTCAGTACTGTAAACGTATCATCTACATATCGGGACCATATCTTCAGAGTAGGACTAAATGTTTGAAGCGCCATCTGTTCCCAATCCAAATGATTATGCACCTATCTCAGATATCTGGAAGATTCTACTTCCGTTGTCATCATAAAGAAGGAGAGAAAATTAGGACTATGTGAATTCTGTCTCAAAGTTGTGGAGTTACCTGCTGATATGAATATGGACAATAAATTGTATCCGAAACGTTATCCAGCAAATGATACTGTTTCACCGTGCGATCTTTCTAATAAACAGACAGTGTCTATGTTTTACTCCTATGTCAGTGAATGACTTTTGATGTCAAACACTCGTGTTTATTAAAATTTGACAAGAAGATGAAACTTCCATCTAAAGCTAGTTGTCACTTTCTTGAAGATCCAAGCATGTTTTACTCATTGTTCCAATCACAGGTGTTAACATTTAATCCTTTTAAGTCCACTGACGTCATTACATAAAATCCCATTCAAGAATTTATTATTCTCCGCTACTGAAAAGTCATAAAATGATAGGTTTGCGTCACTGTTAGCAAAAAAACATTCAGTAGAGTCGAAGTTAAAGACGCAGTTACTTCATTGGCTTAAAGATTCGATTCTTCATCTTGGGTTCTAATTTTGCTTCACCTACTTTGACCTGAACAATCGGATAGATTCATGTATCTTCAGATAATACTTCGTAATCACCATTCATATCAACATAGGACTAGGCAGTACTATATAACAATCCAAGTTACCAGACATCAACACACCAAGTAAAAAAGAAATCAGATGAAAGATGAAGAAATAAAAAGGAATCGATCAAAAGTGGTAGAGGGAGGAAGAATAAGAAAATGCAGAATTCAGTGTAGCAGGTAATGTGTAGATACATCTGCACCAGTGACATTGATTCTCAGCTATTTCACACAGTCTCCAACCGCTGATTTCTGTTGTCAGGTGAACCTCGACCTGGAAGTCTATATTTCTTATACAATGATACCATGTTTTAGTCTAGCCAACTCTAACCTTTTTCAAGCCTCATAATATTTGTACATAGCCCTGCACCAGGGTGAGTTATATTGATTAGAAATTGAATTACCTTATCTGATGTATGTCCACTCCCTAGCAAAGACATTTTATTGTAGATAAAGACTGTTTTTTTTGTGTACTTTGTGGAGCCGTGGTTCATTGGTCTAGTTACTTGATTGCTAACCAATGAGTCAGGTTCGAAGCCAACTCCATTCATCTGAGGTTTGGGTAGCTAGGTAGTAAAGATTTCGATCTGAACAAGCATATTTAGAGCAAGTGTAAAATAGTGCACACAAGAAAGTCGACTTAGCATTGCCTCGTCCTAGTATGGGACTCTTCAGCAGTGTGCACTCATGAACCCACCAGGGGTTGAACCCAGAGACTTCAGAATAGAGGTCTTGCTATATCGTGAACTGACAGAAGTAGGAAATATGGACCATTGGAGTCCGACCCATTGGCTCAGTGATAACCTGTTAGCATTGTCACACAGCGCCAGGTTCTGAAACACAGGTACGCTTACCGACACCCGACAATGGGGGTATTTCTTGACCTGAAGGTGGCATTCGACTCCGTTGATCGAGAAGTCTTATGGTAACGTCTCTCACTGAAAGGTGTGCCGAGTAAGAACATCACCTTATTGAAGGCTCTCTATTTGAATACTTTTGGGCATGTTAGAGCCTATGGTGAGATGCCCAGGAAGCTGTGCTCATTGAGTGGTGTCCGTTAAGGGTGCTCACTCTCTCCGTTCTCATCCAATTTTATCATAGATATTCTTATGGAGGTCTCCTTCTCGTTTCGACGTTGATCTAATCGCAGGAGAAATTTCGTTAAACCTAGAATATGCAGATGACATAGTCCTGTTAGGTGAAGACACTGACAGGATGCAAAGTCTTCTGAACACTTTAAGTGTCAATTTGAGATTGTTTGGAATGCGTTTCTCACCACCGAAATGCAAATTGGTGCTCCAGGATTGGTCTTCAACGGTGCCACGGCTAACGATAGAGAGTGTAGTGATTGATTGTATTGACCACTTCACTTACCTGGGATGTCAGACCAGCTCTGGTAAGTCGGTCAGTGACCAACGGAATTTCTGCACGGAGACAAAAGGCTCGGTTGGCTTTCACCAACTTACGCTATCAGTGGCTTTGCCAACACTATCCGATTGTCGAGTATACTGTGCTACAGTCCGCTGTGTTCTACTGTTTGGCTGTGAAACATGGTCATTGAAGGTGGAAGACATGAGAAGGCTGGCTCCAGGTGTTTGACCACCGTTGTCTTTGTAGTATAGGGCGCATTCCGTGGCGTCACCACGTGAGTAACGCAGAAGTCAGACGTAGAGATTTAGGGTGAAGAGATAAATCAGTTGACAAGGTTGTGAATCTTAATCAGTTGAGATATTTGAGACACGTGTTCTGTATGCCAAACCATAGTCTGCCTCATCACAGAATGTTGGTCAAAGTAGATTCATGTTGGAAAAAGGCCCGAGGCGACCAGACTAAAACATGGCGCCGATGTATGAAGTGTTTGACTGTTGCTTTGAGCCATGTAGGGGGGCGATGCAGACTAGGTGGTTAAGGTCCGTCGGACTAGAGGAACCAGTGGTTAGATACTCTAGGTGATCACATGACTGAGAACGGATGTCAGTGGCGCAGATGTATGGACACGTTATCCTCACATTAACCGCTATACTAAGTCTCACCATTTTCTGATTCTTCCTTTCTCTCCTTTTGTACTTTATGTTTCTTTTGTCTGAATTTTCTTATCTTCATCTTGCTCCTCACTGCCTTTTTACTTGATGTAGTGATATGAGCTGTGGTAAGTCGGACCGTTACGCAGTAATACCTGTTCCTGTGTTGACTTGGATGGTGGTGGATGAGCATTGTCTATCTGTCAGTAAACATGATTATGCAGGCTGTAGGCATTCGCATTTTGTATTGAGCTATCATGATGATTTTGATATGAATATGGAGTGGTTCAAAAGTCCTATAATTTTCTTTCTTTAATCTAATTCCCACTTTGTTTGTATCCATGTGTATATGTTAGCTGATGCAGCAGTCAGAGAAGTTTATGAAGAGTGTGGAATTCATACGGATTTTGGCGGTGTTATATCCTTCAGACAACAACATGATTTTCCTGGATCATTTGGTATATCTGATTTACTATTCACTTGTCGACTTCAACTGCCTAACGGTGTGTCTGAGCCTGAGATCAAGACTTGCTCTTATGTAGGTTAATGCTGTTAAATTTACTTATTATTGAATTGGAATTCTACTTGTTAGTTATAAGCAGTCGGCAGGAAACCCTGTTTATCCTAGGTATCATGTCTGATGCCAGTTATCAACTAGGTCTGCCTGCAACCTCGAGGGAACTGATGTCCCGTCTGGGACTGGAACTTGCGTCACTCATTATTCCAGTCAACGATCTTGTCACTAAGCTATTCAGAAAGCGACTAACCTCTTGCAAGACTAGATTAGGTATATTGATTGGTTACTGGAAAGTAGGCCACTTCATGTTGGCTAGTTCTGAGTGCCGACTGAATTCCACCAATCATTTTGCAGTATGCCCACCAAGCTGGAGGATTCATTATCGCAATACACTGAGAAAGATGTTCATTGTATGGAGGCAATCAGTGAGGAGTTGAAATTTCAGGAGATATTTTCCACATTTGTATCTACCTTTCATTTGCGTTAATGAAGTATTTTCTTCAAATACTGATTATTTTCATATTAGATTTGTTTATTTGATATATAGAGCACAGTGATACAGTATTATTTAATTGATTACGTTTCGAGCATAAATTATTACTGCTCATAATCATATCAATGTAATCACACACAAGTTTCGATGTCTGATTTTATAGTCCTATCACCTGATCTCTCTTTGTTTTTTGTCTTTTGATTGGTAGTAAAGTTTTCCATATCTCTGGTATAGGTGTTGTGTCATTCCTATTACATGTGTTGGGTGTGGATTCGATGAACAAAGATTCAGTAATTAATCTCTCTCTCCACCTAGCTATATTAGACTTAAGTACAGTGGTTTTCTCCCACCCTAATGTGTGGTTGTGTGTTAATGAATGTAATGCAATGGCCGAGTGTTTTTCTAGATTATTGATCTTATTGGGGTCTGCCGTTCTATGTTTAGCTAAATTCCTATGTTCTGCTAATCTAATTGATCCCAACCGGCTAGTTTGACCTATGTATTTGACCTCACAGTCATTATATGGAATTTGGTAGATTATATTATTTTGCCTAATTGGTTCTATTGGATCTTTTAGCTGACAAAGCTTACCTCTAAGTGAGTTTGTTGGTTTAAATGCCACCCTAATTCCAACCTTGTTGAGAATCCTACATATGGTTTCTGATGTTCCTTCCTTGTATGGTATCACAATAGAGGTGTTGATTTCCTTTCTACTTATGTTGTCACTATTATTTGTATTTGTATTAGTGTTATTATTTTGCTTCTTATGTGTTTGTGTGAATTTCTTAATAAAATGATGGGGATAATTATTAATTATTAACGTTTCTTTTATGTGTTTCAATTCCTTATTTAAGTCCTTACAATGACTAGTGAGTTTCTTAGCTCTGTTATTTAGACATTTGACTAAACCCGGTCGGGGTCAGTTAGATTAACAGAACATAGGAATTTAGCTAAACATAGAACGGCAGACCCCAATAAGATCAATAACCTAGAAAAACACTCGGCCATTGCATTACATTCATTAACACACAACCACACAATAGGATGGGACAAAACCACTGTACTTAAGTCTAATATAGCTAGGTGGAGAGAGAGATTAATTACTGAATCTTTGTTCATCGAATCCACACCCAACACATGTAATATGAATGACGCAACACCTATACCAGAGATATGGAAAACTTTACTACCAATCAAAAGACAAAAAACAAAGAGAGATCAGGTGATAGGACTATAAAATCAGACATCGAAACTTGTGTGTGATTACATTGATATGATTATGAGCAGTAATAATTTATGCTCGAAACGTAATCAATTAAATAATACTGTATCACTGTGCGCTTTATATCAAATAAACAAATCTAATATGGAATTACAGTGCCCAAGTTTTACACTTATATTACTGATTATTTTAACTACTTGATTATCACTTTTAGTGACTAATGTTACAGTGCGGTTCTTAAGCGTTTCATCACCTCATTGCCTAATCTGTAAGCCGTATTCGGTGTAACTTATCTACCCTCCACAGGCTGTTACACTATCAGATACACTTAATAACTGCAAGTATTTCAGTATTCACAGTTCTCCAAGACAAATTTTAACCTTTAGTGGGGTCAATCTCATCCTATTTATTGTACTACTTTTCAGTGAACTAGCTTTAAGCTACGAAAAAACTATAGGTGAGCAGACTAAAATGTGGCACCACTTCATAAAGTATGAGACCATTATCCTACACCGTGGAGCCGCATCTAGACCTACTGCTTGCAGTCCGTGGCGCACTCCTTCCACCCCGTTCCAGACTCCACATCAAATGCCTTACTATGGATGCCTTTGCCACACACACACACACACACAAACACACACAACATCCTCATCTTAATCATCACACCGAATTTAAAGGTTCCTCTACCTACTCAAACTCTCTTCTTATCATGTTCACTGAGTTAAATACATCAAATCAACGAATATAATGCTGACAGAATATTTTCCAAAGTCCAACAATTAAATAGTTTCATCCACCAATCAAATGGATAACCAGTTCAAACTACTCACCTGTGTTCCACGGAAAATCACCCAAATCAAAGGATACACCTCACCAAACATATAAGGTGTTGATTCAAATACTAAATTGTCACTTCTATCCTCCATAACCAGTAGCAGATACCTACTGAGTGAATATACCTTGATACAATTTACCCGTAACAAACCAACTTATTTAATGAATACATTATTATTAGTGAGAATATTTCACGGAATAATCAGACAATTATCATTACTGGTCATTTCTGTATAAAAATAATTTAACTACAGTTTAGCTACAGTGTTTTTAACCAGTTCTCATCTCATCTGGGAAACATCTGTGCATGAAACCATCAACTCACCTTCATTGTATTCATATTACACCACCCATTCCCATCCAAGTGTGTCGACCCGACCACTTCAGTTAATTGAAGAGGAGGAACAGTCCAAATGGGTTGGTTGGTGATGAAACCTCAGTTCAGATAGGGAAGGGCCGATTGGCATTTACCAACTTGCATCATCTGTGACGTCGATCGTTGAAAATGGAAGAAATGAAGCGAATACAGGGTTTTAATTATCCGTGTCTTCGCAGAATTGTTCGCATTTGGTGGGATCACCGTGAGGTGAAGGGTACTATGCAAGACACGGAAGTCGATTGATCAGGTTGTGAACATTCATCGACTGAGATGAATGGGACATGTACTGTACACGTGGAGCGGATCCACCGCCTACCTCGACATGCCATTCCAGTGGAAGTTGGATTAGGTTGGAAGAGGGTTCAGGGTGGTCAGGTCAGACCAAGTTGTGGTGCTTGTTGATGAAGTTCCTGACCATTGACTTCAGCCGTGTAGGGAGACGTAGACTAACCCAGTTAGGGTCCACGAGACAATAGGAGTCAGTGACAGGGCTTTCAGTCAGGCATAGTGGCGTAGATGTATGTATTCACTCTCTGATGTCAACCAAAGCTTGAATATTTGTGCTATCCCTTGTCTTCCTTCATATTGGTTATTCTCTCACACAACCTTGTCTACTTTGATATCAACCTTTTTCTATCCACTTGTTCTTTGTGTAGTGCTGTAAAGTGTGGCAATTTTAAGTGATGCTCTTATGTGGGAGGTTCTACGTTGATTTTGCCTGCCTCTCTTTTCCGTTTTTCTTCATTTCTTTTCCTGTATGAATGTTTTTCACCTCTTGATATATTCATCTTCAGCTTGTTGTGATTCTATGAAGTATAGTAAGTTGCCCTGTTACCCAGTAATGTCAGATTCTACGTACTGGTTGAGTTTTGTCTGTCTGTATTTCACCTCATGTTTTGACAATCTTCGGTAGCCGTGGTTTGGCAGACTTGTATTAGAAATACTGATTGATGATTAGGATAAGGAGTTCTGAATGGACAAACAGTGTGATAACGATCAAGCGACAGTAACACATCGCAAACTCACATCCCAGTGAGAAAAAATCTTTGGCGATATGGTCTCCAGCTGTTGAGTTTCATAGTTAAATTGATAGGAGCACTGAGCTGATGAACGGGAGCTGTCAGTTCGTATCCTGCAGTGAGCCAGATTTTCATCTCATCTCCAATCACTACCCAGTATCAATGTTGTTTATTAGCATATAATTTTTGTGTTATCCTTAGTATTGATAAACAAACTATACATAGTGAAATCTAATCAACACTTGAATACTTTTTGAGTTTTATGTGAATGTCTTATGTAACTCTATTGACTTATGTACTTAACCTTCAATCAATAAGGGGGAATAGGTTTGAACCGCTATTGCCGCTAACGATGCACGGATATCCAGCGTCAGCTAGCAAATTCGTATGTGATTCCCGACCCGACTAATTAGTAGATGAGGCACGATTGACGTGTAGTAACGTGTATCAGGTTCGAAAGACCGAAGGTCAAAACAAAGGAAAATACAACTAATATATAGATAATTCGCTGTTTAAAATAACGCTATTGATTGGCTGACCCACCGTCTGTCTGTCTGTCTGTCTATCTATCTAATTTTGACGTGATAGCACAAAGTAGATTTTGATTGGTCCCTTTCTAGACTAGTCATTCCTTTCTATCCCCATATCAATCTACCACAGTGTGGTTGATTACATAGATCGGATCTCTAGCTCTAATAAAATGAGTGTAGTTCATTTCTCTTAGGCCGTGAATCTAAATTATTGGAATAATTCCACTACCTTATAGTGTGATAAGTTTTGCGTGTCTTACTTAGTTGAATCCTCACACATACATATAATAAATAGCCCGCAGACTTAGGTAGAACTCAATAAGTATTCATAATCTTGAATAACGCTCATTATAGAATTGATTATCATGTTACCTTCTTCAAAAGAGATTAAATAAGTATATAATTAATTATATAGCTAATATGTTAAATATCTTTTTTTTCTGCTTTGGTTATCTGCCAATAATAAGAAAAAAAAATCTACCTTGGTGATAGTTGACCTGAGAATTCAAACTAGGTGGGAGGGTAACTGACTATTGTACTGATT